GGTTGTATACAAAGTATATTCACACCAATTTGTGTCTTCATACATGTACTTTGGAAAATAATGTCTATCACATTGGAGTTAGAGAAGATAATGCTAAGTGAAGTTAGGCAATCCCAAAAATCCAAATGTCAAATGTTTTCTCTGATATAAGGAGGCTGATTCATAGTGGGGTAGGGAAGAGAAGCATGGGAGGAATAGATGAACTCTAGATAGAAATGATGGTAAAAACACTTAAATTCTTAAGAACAAAATAAAACTGTATTTCTCTCAGTTTATGGGTATTACTTTTCAAATGGCTAGTTAATTGTTAATTGTTAATTGGACATGTATATTTATTTAATTGTTGGGGCCTAACTGTATAATTAACAGAAATGTTACCTACTTCTTTTGGCCTTGGCACACCTTGAAAAATTTACTGGAACACTAAGAATGCTAAGAAGGAAGAAGATTTAGAATCCTCTGCTTATCCCATCCTGCCTGCAGTCCTCTCTTCAGTATGCACATTGCTTTGCCTGAGAAGTAATAATTAGACACACCGTGCATTATTTATATGCCGATGTGCCTACATTGGTGTTTTGAGCAATTGTAGCAAGTATTCTGGGCCACAAACTTTTAAATTTTTATTCCAGTATAATTTTATAATTTAGCAGTTGGACGACATTCTGGTAGAACAGTTTTAGTTTACAACTCTTCTTATCCATGGCATTACACTTAGATTTTCTCATGGTACTGTATGTCAAGAAAGCATCTGTGAATTTTACAAGAACATAATTGTGAGTACATGATGAACAGATTTCTTTCTTTTGAATTAAGTGTAGAATATTCAGTATAAGATAGTTTATTCATTAAAATTTAGCTGTTTTCAATTTAACATGACAGAATTAACAGTTTTGTCTCTGAGTGAAGGCTTTAGTAAATATAATTTCCTACTACCTCCATGTTTGTCTGAGTTAGTGTAGTGACCATGTTTTTCTTTTACAGGAAATGTATATTTGAAAACTCCATGTCTTTTTAAATCTTGAAAGAACATTGGTGTGATTGGCCCTGGTCAAGACCATGTTTTCCCAGTCTGTTGTTGAAAATAATTATGTTGGATAATAAGAAAAGCAGAATTTT